GGCAATGAGTACAAAGTGTAAAAGAATAAAATACTGAGGGACTAGAGTTAAGCTTCAAACCTATTGCAAAAATCTCTGGAAAAAGTGACAAAGGCTCCCATTAAGAAGCTTTAGCAGGGACAGATATCATGGCAAGACTCTAAAACACATGAGAGTTCGAAAGAGAAAAAGATAGATGAGGAAATAAATGTGAAAAAAGGCAATGGAACACAGAACAGACAACGGAACTATGGACACTTTTGGCTTCTGACTTGTCCAAAGGTAGTGTAATCTACAAGAGGGCTTCAAAGAATTTGTGAAAAACGGGATGAAAGATTTGAAGGCCTCTCATACTGCAACAATGAAAAGAAATAGAAAGAGGAAGTTGCTGTTTGTGCCATCAAGTGGATTCCTACTCATAGACATCCTGTACATCAGTGTGAAGCCATAGGCTTTCCAAGGTTATAACCTCAACGGGAATAGATTTCTTATATTGTCTCCCTTGGAATGACTGGTAGGTTCAAATCTTATAACTTTTGGTTAGCAGCCCAGCACTTGGGAATTGTGCTCTCAGAGCTCCTTAGGAGGAAGTTACTTAAATCAAAGCAAACCCATTCCTATTAACTTGATTCTGACGCATAGCAACCCCATATGACAGAGTAAAACTGCCCCACTGGGTTTACAAGTATATAAACGTTTATGGGAACAGACAGCTGCATCTTTCTCCCACGGAAGAACTGGTGGGTTTGAACTGCTGACCCTTTTGCTTGCAGCCAAGCACCTGACTTGTGTTACTGGGGCTTCCCAGCAGAAGTTAGAAGGAGGAATAGTGAAATAAATTTTGGCTCATTGACTTTGAAATGTAAACAGAACAAGAAGGTGAGGTTGTGAATAATAACCAAGTCTGGAAATGTAGCTTGGGTGTTGTCTGATTGGAAGGTTAAGGCATTGAGATGGAAAAGAGGTGAGGTTGACGATGGAATACTGGAGAATTCCCACATTCAAGTGCCAAATGGAGAAAGAGAAGCCACCCAAGGGGACAAAACCCTGAATAGTCAGGGATGTTGGTGTAGATTTAGGACTTTTGCATCGTTTAAAGTGATTTTGGCTCATTGAAATCTTCAAAAATCAATGAAGGAGACAAAAGAGAGTTTCAAGAAGAGGGAATTACACCACAAAAACTCCCAGGATTCAAAAGGAATATGTTCTATAGCCATGAAGATGGACAAATCCCGGAATATATTGACCTGTGGTAATTATAACATCCTCAGACTTATTCTTAAAAGCAAACAATAGATTAGTTTAACTAGTTAAACAAAAGTCTGCCTTGTGTATTATGCTCTTTTAAGAATTATCTATATGGAGCACAAGGAAGAGATGAGCCAGTCAGGGTTCAATAAAGCACCCAGGAAACATACAACTTTCCTCTAGTTCTTTAATGCTCCCCCCGCCCCCTACTATCATAATCTTAATTCTACCTTACAAATCTGGCTAGACCAGAGCATGTACACTGGTACAGATAAGCGCTCCCAACAGAGGGGAGCCAGGACAGATAAACCCCTCAGGGCCAATAATGAGATAGCAATACCAGACGGTAAGGAGAAGATGGGGTGGGGGTAGAGGGTAGGGTGGAACCAATTAAAAAGTGGGTGAAGGAAGACAGTGGTCATTGTAAGACATGGAAAAAAACCAATTATTTATAAATAATTATCAAGGGTTCATGAGGGAGGGAGGGTGGGGGAGGGAAAATGAGGTGACACCAAGGGCTCAGGTGGAAAGAAAATGTTTTGAGAATGATGCCGGCAACATATGTACAAAGGTGCTTGACACAATGGATGGATGGATGGATTGTGAAAAGAGCTGTAACAGCCCCAATAAAATGATTTGGGGAAAAAATAGAATGATCTATATGAGATTGTTAGGTAGGTTAGCAAAGGGCTGGGAGTGTCCTGTAACGCGTGCCCAGAGGGCCAAGGCAGGGGAACAAAGGAGTGGCACACAGCACATGCTCAGGGTCCCACCCCCCACCCCAGTAGGCAGGGGTGGGGGTGGGTGGGCGTGAACTTGAATTGGCTCACCTAGCCAGGTGAATTCAATTCAGCCAATGGGGTCGATCAGGGGTCTTCCACCACGCCTCCCTGTGGAATCCTTGAAAAGGCAGAAGCCTGGAGTTGAGAGAGAGAGAGAACTTAGGCGCAGAGAGCTTTGGCGGAACTTTGGGACGCTTTGCAGGACCCCTAGCCATTTCCCACCAGGCCGCATGTCTGGGAGGAGCCCCTCGGAAGCCCTGTGAACCTGAAACTTCTAATTCTCATAAAATTCACTTCGATCAGGAACCAGGCTTCGGCGTGAATTCTTTCTCGTGTGGAGCCAAGGACCGACATATATATATCTAGCTCCAGAGAGATCTAACAAGATCAGCAACTTAAAAGTTGAAATAGAGGCACGAGGAGCCAACGCGGACATCGTGAGGGAGAAACAAGTGTGCAAAGAACATGCAGAGGAGCAGAATCCCTGGCAGGAGACTGTGTGTAGAAACCGCTGCATCAGTGCATATGTTGCTATGGATACTCTCAACAGCCCCAAAGTAAATGCAATTTAGAAAAGTTATCATTTAATTTTATAAAAGAGTTCAAAGGTTACTTTCCCATAAACTCTGCTAGCAGAGCAGTTTCTGAAGGCCTAATGGGTCTTGAGCTAATAATGACACTATTTCTTCAAATAGTCCGTTGTTAAAACGTGAGAGGAATAGACAAACAAGGTTCTCAAGAGAAAGCCCAGATTGGGAAGCAATATTGTTTTGTATGCTTTTTTGTTTGATAAGGATGGGAACCATGTCAGCCTGGGATTCATATCATCCATATCCCCTGATCCCAGAATCTTATATCCACATGAATGCACCTCTTGAAATTACACCCAGGTCAACCAAATTCAATGTTTGAACATCTCCTCGAAGCCTCCTGTATTCTTGGGTACTCCACATCCTTCATCCACGTGTTCAAACCAATGGCCACCTCCTAATAGTTGAAATCCATATCCACATCCTCTTAGAAATCTAGAATCAGATTTCTTGGTGTAAAGGCAAGGGGTTGGCAGGACTACCCTCCCTCCAAAGGCTCTGGGAAGAATCCATTTCATGGCCTTTCCCAGCGCCTAGAGCTTCATTCCTTGGCTCATAGGCCCTTCTTCCATCTTCAAAGGTAGCAGCATAGGACCTTGCTTCGATAGTCACATTGCCTTCTTCCCTGTGGTACATCTCCTTGTGCTTACATGCAGTCCTGTTGTGATTACATGCAGTCCTGCTGTGATTACATGCAGTCCTGCTGTGATTACATGCAGGACTTTCCAGATAATTCAGGCTATTCTTTCCAGACCAAGAACCTGAATTTAATCATGGTTGCAAAATCTCTTTTGCAATCACAGGAATAGGAACTGGGTATCTTTGGAGGTCATTATTCACATTACTACAGCACCTAAATGTACATAATCTAAGCTTCTCATTAAAGGAGCCCAGGTGGTCTAGTAGGTTATGAATCAGGCTGCTAACTTTAAGCAGTTTGAAGCCTTAGTTGACACAAGGGAGAAAGGTGGGGCTTTCTGTAAAAAAAAAAAAAAAAATTACATAGTCCAAAACCCAAAGAGTTTCTGTGAGTGGGGATTGCCCCAATGCCAATGGCAGCGGGCTGACAACCTCATGTTCTTTACTGATCTTCCCTTAAATCCTTCATCGCACACCGGTGACTAATGGCACGTTGACTACTGACGTTGACCTATACGTTACACTCACAGACTCGTCCACATTCATTGGAAACGTCTACATGTCTCTTTCCGCCTGGGCGTTGAGGCCCGTTAGATCGAGTTCCCTCCTGTCACCCCTGTTCTTTCTTACAGGAGGCCGGCCTTGGAAACCCACAGAGGCATTCCACCCTGCCCGAGAAGGTCACTATGGGCTCGATGCAACTTGATGGCAGTGACTTCTTCGCTTTGCTTCTTTGTCATGCTTTGTACTCAGCATGATTATCTGGCACATGGTAATTTCCAAGGCTTGTTGAACTGAAATGGGGAAACAAAGGTCCAAGGGAGAAAAGGGTGTCTAATGCAATGAAGATTGAAGAGAGACAGTAAGGGATGGAGCAAAAGACAAATGAAATAGAAGAGATGCCTTTCACTCTGACTCTCAGGGGAAGCAGGTAAAGAGAGAGGAAGATATAACTCACTAAAACACAACTCATTGCCATCAAGTCTACTCCGACCCACAGCCACCCTATGGGAGAGGATAGAATTGCCCCTGTGCATTGCTGAGGCTGCTAATCTTTATGGGACCAGAAAGCTTCATTGGTCTCCTGAGGAGCAGCTGGGGGTTTGAATGACTGACCAGTGCTGGCAGTTCAACACAAAACCCATTATGCTACCAGAACTCATAGGAGGCAGATAGGTGGTAGGAAATGGGGAGAATTTTGGATTATGGACTGTGTTAGTCTGGGTAGACTAGGGAAACAAATTCACAGAAACACGAGTTTTATATAAAAAGTAAGTGGACATTAAGAACACATTCCAATCCAATCTGGTCCAAGCCCATAAGTCCGATATTAGTCCATATGTCTGCCACTGATCTACAAAGTCCTCCTCAAACTCGCAAAACACATGCAATAGCACTGACTGCAGGAGGAAAGCCGCATCAGTGAATGTGTAAGCATCTCAGTGCTGGCAGGGGTCTCCACATGGCCTCTCCAGCACCCAGGGTTGCATCGGGGTCGGTCCATGTGGCTTCTCAGGAATGTCTCACAGGAAGTTGAGATGTCGTGCCAGCTGAGGCAGAGAACTAGCTAAGGCAGCTGCACCCTGATCTGACCATCAGAAAACAAGAGACCAGAGAACAAGAAAAGCGAGGCTTACCGAGCCATTTATCTCCCCGCCCTTCAATTAATCCCACATGTGTTTATCGTCCAGGTTGGCACAATAAACCTTAACCATCACATGCATTTTATTTGTTAAATAGGCAATTGGACCATGTGAGTGTTTAATAAAAATTTAGAGAAGACTGGTTGGTAGCTGAAAAAATACACAGGACACATTTACTGGGACAGTAGAAACTCATCTTAAATGTTAAGACCCTAGAAACATTTCCCCCCCAGGAATTTGGAAATCCTTTAGGGCCTTATTCATATACTTGAAATCCTTTTACGAGGCAATGGTTTAGGGACTCTTAGACTCTTTTCTCTGTATCTATCTGCAAACACGTGTGCCTGCAGACCTTTGCTTTTCTGTGAGGCTGTAGACTTGCTGTCAGAGCTGGGGTTGCTCCCGGTGGTGTTGCTGTTGGTGGCGTCCAGAGACGCATGGCTCACGGCAATGCTGCTTGCACTGTGGGAAGAGTAACTATAAACCATCTGGAGGAAGGCAGATTTCGTGTTAATCTCTTGCTTCCAAAGAAGAACATAGCATTTGGGGAAGAAGGTGCAGCACAGAATTCCATAATTTGATATCAGAATGACGATAACCTCTACAGCCGGTAGGTATTTGCCAAATGTGTTGGCGTAGACAGGGATGAATGTGATCCAAGCTATGAAGTAAATGAGCATGCCAAAGGTTATGAATTTGGCCTCGTTGTAATTCTCCGGCAATTTCCGGCCTTTGAAAGCAAAGATGAAGCAAATGAAGGCCAAGAAGGCAATATAGCCTAGCATGGTGCCAAATGCAACTATCGATCCTTCTTCACATTCCAGGATAATGACTCTAGGCAAGGAGACATTCTCCTCCACGACAGGTGCCGCCAAGGTCAACCAGAGTGTGCAAATGACAACTTGGATACCCGTGCACGTGAAGATGATGGGGATCGGTTTATAGAGGCACTTCAGCAAGATCTGCAGCTTGGGATCAAAGCTGAAGGCTAGCAAAATTTTCAAGGACTTCGTCAAAATGCAGGAGATGCAAAGAGTCAAGCTCACACCGAAGAGGGTCTGCCTGGTTTGACACGTGAAGCTTTGTGGTTCTCCAACGAAAAACCCTGTGCTGACAAAGTTGAGGAAATGGCAGAGGAGCATCACATAGCAGACTGCCAATCCCCCTGATGACTTCACAACGGGTGTGTTCAGATTCCTTGTAAAGAGTATGCCAATGGCCAGAACGAACAGGATTCCCAGGAGAGCGAGACCCAGGAGCAGGATAGCCAGGGGGTCACTCCAGCTGAGAAACTCAACTTCTTTTTCATAGCACGTGGTGCTCCTGCCAGGGGCCCAGTGCGTCTCGTTGTTGCATACAAGACAGTGATCCATATCTAAAAGACAGAGGCTACTCGCTTACTTTGTGAACACTTTAATTCGGCGAGAGTCCACGATACTACAAATGAGATGCCTCCATCGGAGACCTGACTAGAAAACAGATATCGATCATTGCTAATTTGACTTCACGTTAACATAAAGCATGCATAGAACTCAACGAGGGTAAGAGAGGAGGAGAAAAGGTAAGAGGATAAGGGAAAAGAGAGAGAAAGATCAAGAGCAAACACCAGCTAGACTATTAGTCACTTGGAAAAGAAGACACCCAGCTCATATCCGTGAGCTTTCTAACCTGCTTCTCTCTCCAAACTTGCTACCTGTCAATTCTCAGCCAGGACAACTCCAAGTGCATGAGAGGAGAACTGTGTTCTTTAGGGTTTGCAAGGGCTGTGATCTTTCAGAAGTACATTTTCAGGCCTATTTCTCTGAATACCTCTGGCTGGATTTGACCTGCCAATCATACTGTTACTAAGCAAGCTCAAGCCATTTGCACCACCCAGGGATCTCTTTCCACCAAGTATTCCTTTTAAAATAACCTCTTCGACAGACAACCAAAAAGTGGATGAAGGGAGACGTCGGACAGGGCAAGATATGACAAAATACCCATTTATAAACTATCAAGGGCTCATGCGGGAGGGGGGAGTGGGGAGGGAGGGGAAAAATGAGGACCTAATATCGGGGGTTTAAATGGAGAGAAAATGTTTTGAGAAACGATGTACAAATGCGCTTTACACAATTGATGTGTGTATGGATTGGGATAACAGTTGTATGAGCCCCTAATAAAATGTTAAAAAATTAAAAAAAAATAAAATAAAAATAAAAAAGCAATCAAAAAAAAACCTCTTCCCCACCTCTATCTGTCTCTTGACCCCTGCTATTAGTGTCTGCCAGTTCGTTCATTCGGTGCACATTTACTAGCCTTCTCCGTGGAACGGGCCGTATTTGGTATTGTATAAACAGAGAAAATTAAAGATTGCAAATGACCTCAACTCCATGCTTTCCTCCAAACCAGTTCCAGTTGTCCATACGTGTCAATCAAAGTAATTTTTCCTGTTTATAAAAAGAATCTGAATTGGATCTTGAAAGACCCTTCTACATCTTTTGGGGAAATAAATGGTATATATTTCTCAGTGTTTTTATTTGTCCCACTTGAGAGACAGTTGCCAATTACTGTATTGCCTAGAAATGCCACAGACACTCCCGGCTCCATGCTACCACGTTATCTAATTATTTAGATAGCAAGATCCATCTCAGATTGGAGTAAGTGGCCCTTTGTGAGACAGTGACAACCTGAAATGAGAATATTTGCATAGGGGGTGCTTCTGCATCCTTGAAACTAATGAGAGAGAAAAAATAGTTTCTTGGGGCTCCTTCCAGCTCTGCATTGGAATGTTTTACCTTTAGGGAAAGTGCTGATAGCTCCTATTAGGTTTCCCAAGGCTGGTGATTTCACTCTTGCTCTTTGTGTATTTTTCTCTGATCTGGTAGCATTGTCAAAGATAGGATGACAAACAATCAGTTACTGGCAACTGATCTGTCAATAGTGGGTACCCTTGTCTTGAAGTGGGTTCTTTCTTCTTAGGATTAACATTTGTGTTTTTGTAGTAATGAGGTCTACAGGGTTCTCACGACTATTTATTTAATCTAGGTACCTCTGGATTTCTACTATTTTCTTATGATCAGTTAGTTATTTCAGCATTCTAGTTATTTATTTATGATTATTGACAGACGATTACAAGACAGACATCTCTGTGTGGAGATATATAGACAAATATGGGCATTATCCTGTAAGAGGTGCTGGAAAGGAAAGGGTTGAAGAATGGTATTTTCACTTGGAAGTAAAATTACTTTTTTACCATTGTTATTGGCTCAGTATGATTGACATAACAGAGAAGATTCTGAGATCAAGAGGAATCTCATCAGAATTTAAATGATCAAGAGCACGAGAAACTTCTTTTTTATCAAATGAGAAATAAAAACAGCCTGGAAGAAATAGTTTAGGTGCACAGTGCAGTGTGCTGAAATAACTGTAATTACCTGTCTGATTAGTGTAGTGGTTTTCAGGACAGTTCACACATTCATAGCAGCAAGTATGCTGACTTCTTGTCGTTTTCTTCATTTCTCCAGGACTGCATTCTTGGGAGCATCTAGACTGAACTTGCTGTATTCAAGGTGGAAAGAAATCCCACATAGATTAAAGACATCACAACTAGTTTTGATATAATGTGAAGATATACTTAGTAAACAGTATTGAGATCTTTGTTCCTATAAGAATGTGTTGGGAGGCACCATAGACTTCACCCTATGCACAAGTGGGCAGTCCTGCACCGTCCTCACAATGGTTCCTATGCATGAGCCCACTGATGGCTCTCTCTCTCTCTCTCTCTCTCTCTGTTTTGCCACCCCTCCATTTTACCAAACCTGATACCCTTTTCCAGGTATCAGTCTCTCCTGACAGTATGTTGAAAGTATGGAAGGTGAACTCTTGCCGTCCTGGTCTCTTAGGAGCACTTTGGCCTTACTTCGTCCAGCACGGATCTGTGTGTTCTCTCAGCAGTCCGTGGTACTTTAAGTGTCCTTCTCAAGTGCCACAATTCACATGCATCGAATCTTCTATGGGCTTCCTTAGTCCATGTTCAACTTTCACATGCATGTGATGCTACGGAGGATATCACGGCATGGGGTTAGGCACATTTTAGTCCGCAAAGTAACATTCTTGCTTTTCAGTACTCTAGGGAGGCCATGCGCAACAGATCTACCTAATGCAACATGTCTTTTGATCTCTTGACTGCTGCTATCATGACCATTGATTGTGGATACAAGTAAGACAAAATTCTTAACAACTTCAACCTTTTCGCAATCTATCATAAATTGTGATGAATTTATCACAATGCTACCTATTGTTCAGTTGTGAGGATTTTAGTCTTTCCTATATTTAGTTATAATTCATGCTGAAGGTAGAATACTTACTCTTCAATTCATCCTCACCTTCAGCAAGCAAGGTTGTGTCATCTGCATATCACAGGTTGTTAATAAGCCTTCCTCCAATCCGGATGCCACACTCTTCTTCATATAAGCCAGCTAGTCCGGTGACTTGCTCAGCATATAGATTGGACAGATATGGTGAGAGGATACAAGCATGACACATACCTTCCCTGATTTTAAACCATGCAATATTCCCTTGTTCTGTTCGTGCAACTGCCTCTTAATCCATGTACAAGTTCTGAATGAACTTGAATGAACACAATGAATTGTTCTGGGATTCTCATTCTTCTCAAGATTATCCGCAATTTATTATTTCAGCCAAGATCCATCTGACATCAGCAATGATATACCTTGTTCCATATCCACTTCTGAATCTGGCCTGAACTTCTGGCCAGAGTTTCCCTCTCAATCTTTGCTGACAAAAAAGTATTTGCTATGACCAAGTCGTTGTTTTTTTTCCAAATTCCATCATGTGATCTCCAGCTTGATTTCTATCACCAAGTCCGTGTTTTCCAACTACTCTGCCTTCCTTTTTGCTTCCATCTTTTGCATCCCAATCCCCAATAACTACCAGTGCATCTTGATTGTATGTTTGACCAAGTTCCAACTGAAGTCCTTGGAAGAACTCTTCAATTCCTTCACCACTAGTTTTTGCAGTTGGTACATAAAGTTGAACAACAGTTGTGTTGCTCAGATTTCCTTGAAGGCAGAGAGACAATGTGACCACAGAGAGCATTGCACCGCATGAGGGACTTGGCAGGAGCCTTTCTGACAATGAGCACCACGGCCTTCCTCTTGATTGTGTTATTCCAGGCACGTAAATCCATTGATTTTCTGATTCAAAATGGCCAATACCAGTCCATTCAGCTCAGCAGTGCACAGGATATCGATCTTCATGCATTCCATTTCATTTTTGACCACTTCCAGGTATGCTAAATTCATACTTTGCACATTCTAAGTTCCGATCGTTAGACGATTTTTGCATCTGTTTCACTTGACCTTGAGTCATGTCCCATCAGCAGATGCAGAGCCCGAAGGCTCCACACTCACACGCTTTACCCCACGCACTCCCTGTGGTCCACTGCCCTCCAAGAACTCAGCTCGTCTGCACTCAGTTCCAGTGCTCTCACACCCGAGGGACCCATCTGCCAGCAGTATCTCCAACAGTGATCTGCTTCCTTTGCTTAGGCTTTCCGAATCTGAAAATGCTTGGAAGCTATGCAAAAGACCTTTAGTGGCTTCTTCCTCAGAAGTGGGGCGCCACCTCCTTCTTTGTCATCTCTTCTGAGTCAGGAAGCTCCATTGAAACCTGTTCACTCTAAGTGCCCCTCTGACATTTGAAATAACAGTGTCAGCTTCCGGCATCACAGTAACACACACGTCACCGCAGTATGACAAACTGACAGACAAGTGGTGGTGTTCCTTCAATGGACTTAAAAAAATCTTGAGTATGTGAACAACATTAAAAATATATAAAATGTTTCACGTGAAACAACTATGCTTTAGGTGGCACACTGTTTTGTCACATTAGAAACAAAATTAGGAAAATTAACCCTTTGACATGTTCTAACAGAGAAAGAAAAGTGTAGGTTAAATGATGCTCTGGATATTTGTAGTTTATGGAAGCCTAGCGGTTTAGTGGTTACATGTTGGATTTTCAATCCCAAGGTCAGCAGTTTGAACCACCGACTGCTCCTCAGGAGAAAGGTGATGCTTTCTTTTTTTTTGTCAGGGGAGAGCGCGAACGCAGTCCCCCACTACCACAAATTATGCAGTCAAGTTTCCCACATTTGGGGAAATCGCAGGGGTCAGCACATCCGGAGTGCAATGGATAAGCCTCGCCCTGGGAAAACCACCTTCGTGATCATGGTATCTCCCCTGCCCGGTAAGTATTGAAAGGAGATGCTTTCTACTCCCATAAAAAACAGTCTCAGAAACCCACAGAGGCTGTTCCCCTGTGGGACACCCCGAGTTGTAATTGACTGATGGCAGTGAGTGTGTTTGAATGTTATGTGTTATAAAGAGTTCAACTATATATGAAAATAGAAAGTTATTGCGATTTTGTACTCTCTAGAAGAAAATCAGTAATCAAGCCTGCAAAAGTACAAATCCAAGAACCATATTCAATTTAAATCTAAAAAGGCATAATCATGGCCATGTTTCATTTAAAACTACTCTGAAAAGAAGTTAACAAGACAACTTTAGAGATATAAATAGAATTTCATTCCTCCCGAGAATTTACATTAAAATTCTGCAATCACAATGTGAATCATACGCAGCAACATTCTACTTTTATTCTCTTTATTTAGCTAATAATTTTTAGCACTTCAGTTATGTTACTGCTTTTTGTTCATAGTCCCTTTCTGATGGCATCTCTTGAGATGACTCATGCTGTTGTTTGACTCTGAACTATTGGAAACCAGAGAGCATGGCTAAACGGAGCTTTCTTAAGACTCCCAAAACTGCTGCTAGTGCTGACACTGCAGCCAGTCAAAACTAAGTCATCTGTCTTATCTCTTGGAGATGTGAAAGATCCGGCCGAGAGAGAGAAGCAGCCAAGATCATTGGCCCTGTGTCTACAAACCCTTGCTTTCTTCTCCTGAACACAATTTGTTGACCTGAGTTCTCCACAAGCAGAATGTCTGCCTTGTGGATTCCCCAGAGAAAAATTTTAATCTGAAGCATTCACTCACTTAAAAGGTGATTAGTGGACACAAAAGGGTTTAACTATTAGATAAAGCTGGATCGCATGAGGGGTAAACGCATAATCTTCCTGCCCAGCAACGCTGTGTCCTTTGTTCACCCTCCTCAAGAGACAACAAACACATTTTAAAGTCTAGTACAGTTACATACAATGGTAGAAGTTGAGACCCCTAGGTTGGAAGGCACTAGACAATGGATTCAAAGATGCCCGTGATCATGAAGACCCTGTAAAGCTGTGCACAGCTTTGTTACCTTGTACGTAGGGTCACCATGAAGACAACGGCAGGATGGTTAGTTGATGGCAACCATGAATTTTCTCGTTGTAGGAGGTGTAGCAGGGAATGGAGCACTACAAATCCTGCTCTCATAAGCTTTCACTTCTAGTTGACAATGATGATAATAAACGAGCAAAAGGTACACAAAATGCAGAGAATGCTAAATAGCGATACATGCTAAGGATGAAATAAAGGCAGGACAGTGTATAAGAACAGATGGGGAGATGATGCAATTTTAATTAGAGTATCCAGGGAAGAAGGCTTCACTGCAAGAGTGACATTTTAGAAAAGGGTTGAAGAGAGGAAGTGGACCATGTGGACATATAGGGCGATTGTTACAGGCAAGGGGAGCAGCAGGTATAAAGGCCTTTAGCTAAAAGCAAGAATCAGAAAACCAAACTTATGGCTATCGAATCAATTCCAAATCATAGTGACCCTATAGGACAGGGTAGAACTGGCCCTATGGGTTTCTGAGAATGTAACTTTTTACAGAGCAAGAATGGCAGGCATATAGTAAGAGGGAGGTGTGTGAGATTATAGGAGATGGGTAAGGGTCAGGGAAAATGGTAGGCAATTGAGTCTTAGAAGTGTAGAAGGGTATTAAGAGGTATTGAGGGCAGGTCATGTATAACTCTCTAAAGAATTTCCTTTTACCCAAAAAAGAAACAAGATGCCATAGACGGGTTTGTGAGCAGAATATTACATTTGCCAGGGTTACTCTGGTGTCTGTTTTGAGCCAGATTGAAAGGACTAATTGTGGAAGGAGGCTTTAGCATGAACTACACAAGTCAGTTGCTGATTTTTGTGATGGGATTGTTTTGAGAGAGTATATCAGGACAGTTTTGGAGAGGTAAGTTGAAGTGCCTATTCGGCATCCAAATAGAGATGCCCCAAAGACCGTTGCTTGTTTATTTGGGTTGGATACAATTCTGGGGATCATCAGTCCATAGAAGATATTTAAATCCACAAGACAGGATGTGATTACTAGAGAACAGTACTCAGCAAAGAGGAGCAGTCTGAACAGGGGAACTCCGATACTGAGAGGGTAGTGGGAATGAGAAGGAGTCAAAAAGGTAAACTGCCTATTAAGAGTGGTGTTATGGGAGCAAGCAAGCAAAGCAGTTCATGAAGAGAGTCCTTGTAGAGTGAGAGAGTTAACATGGGTTGAATTGTGTCACCACAGCATGTGTTTATATCCTACACCTACTCCTATATCTTCGGATGTTTAGTGTCTATTCTGTGCTAATATAGTGTCTATACTGTACAGTGAATGAGGTGAAAGGTCATTGAAGATCTTGGTTGAGTTCAAAATACTTCTGCAGTGAGGGACCAATTACTTTTCAATGAGTCAAGTTTAATGCTACAAAGCAGTCTACCATAAAACTACCTTAAGATTCCTGAATTCATTTTTTGTTTCTTGGTCTTTAAAGATGAAGACATCCTTCTGCAGGTCATATTCTGCCATCTTGGTAATCATCATACGTCCATCCGTCTCAATCTCCTTCCAGAGCAAAACGTCATAGCCAATGTTCAGATCCCCATTCGCATCAAAATGAAAGGAATTATTTCCATCAGTGAATGTCAGATTTTTCAGCACGTCAAGTAACTATAAAAAATAGAACAGAAACAAACATTGAGTACACACTATCAGAGTACTCATTATTTCCATTTTACAAGGAATATTCAAATAATTTGAAGAAGGAAATACATTTGTATCTAATAATATGCCGACTGGTTAAAAAGGATTGTTAACCATATGGTAGCTATTTAAGAATGAGTTCAACCTAGTGTTACCCAAAGCTTTGACAAGTGAATTTGGAAAAGCAAGTTAGTTTCCACAGGTGGTAGCTTTCCTGGCCTGTCACAGTGGAATCTGAGCATCTGAGTATTTCAGAATGTGTCACGCCAGGAAGAAACCTGGGCTCTGATTTCGATTCTATACCTTATGTTGTGATCTTGATGGTCATAATTTCAGCTTCATAAAATCATCTGTAAAATGAGGGTAACAGAACTTACTTAATTGGATTATTTTGAGAATTAAATAAATTACGCATATGAAGAATTTAGCCTTCTATCTGGAACAATTGAAAAGCTAGATATTGCTATTATCTGTGCCTCTCAACCTTCCCGATGCCTCGACCCTTTAAACAGTTCCTCATGTTGTGGTGACCCCCCCAACCAGAAAAATGATTTTCATTGCTACTTCATAATTGGAATTTTGCTACTGTTATGGATCAGGCAACCCCTGTGAAAGGGTTGTTAGACCCCCAAAGGTGTTGCAAACCACAGTTGAGAACCACTGTAGGGGCATTTTGCAAATAAGTAACAATGCATATTACTATTCATATCTGTGATACCTTTTTATTCCATAACAACTCAGTGAAGTGAGTATATTGAGGATTACCTGCCTCTTTTCTTGGGTGAGATTCCCAAGTACTAAGTGGTGAAGGGCCTGTAATAACATACACGATCAGTAATAATCCACAAGTATAGAATAACCTGTGATAATTATAGCTTGATTATTTAACGGTTATATTTCTTATATTATATAAATACAACAAAATTGTTTTGTAAAATCTTCTATGTTAAATTATATTATTAGATACAACATTTTAATAACCATGTTTTCTCTTTATTTTCCTTTAATTACTACTTTATTCTCAAAAAAGCTATCAATACAGGTTCACAGATACTAATTATCACACATATAGTTAAAAACACTAAATCTGACATCAGGGCAATGAAAATAATGTGAGTTTACAACACGCACAGACGAAACCATGTGATTTTGAAGCATCCTTAACTGAGTCATGACGACAGTTCTGACCGGAACACATTAGAAGGTTCAAAAAGTAAGTTAGCATAGAGCAGGAACCTTAAATGTATACGTATTGATACACGTAAACTGGGCTTACAAAGTGTTTTCCTTGGTATAACCAACTGTAGGAATGTTTTTATTAAAAACCAAATTCTGCTGAAACACTTAAAATGTTATGGACAGTCCTTGGGGGCTCACCCCCTCTGGCCACGTCACCTGGTGTGTTGTGCAACTCCCCACCCCTCCGTGATGCGGCTGGTTTCTTTCACATGGAACACGCTCTTAATTCGAAATCCTCTTCATTATTTTTCCTCTCTGATCCCAAAGCAATCACAAATTGCAGAGCGCAGAACCTTCTTTCTGTCTTTCTTGTCTCCACTGACTTGGTCTGAAAGGGCAATCCCAGCCAGCAGGTGTGCCTTTGTTCACCATCTCCCAAGTGGAGTCCAGGAGATGGAGCTGCAAGCAGCACTCTGCCTCTGGGGAGCGCTCTGAGGAAGGGCCCGCAGTGGGTGGCTGTCAGGGACCTTCGGGAGCCTGCCCTTTGAAACCATGCCCCGTTACTCATTGGGTGCGTGGGAGAGCCAGGTTTTCTGTCAGGGCTCTCGCATCTGTTTCCACAATCTAGTGAGAGCTACAAACCAAATCCAAACAGCCGCCATCGAGTGGGCTCCCCTCACAGTGAGGACAGCCAGTCGTGAGTTTTCATTTTTGATTGAGATGAACTTGTTTGTCACTAAAGACTCCAAGTCCATTTCCATTTTACATTTCCTCCTTTCTCTCCCTCTCTCCTTCTCCCCCTCCCTTTTTCAAACCACTTAAAGGAATCTGGAGAGATTTTATTTAAAAACGTAGTATGCGTATTCACAACTCATTTCAAGAAACGCAACAACAATACCCTACTAAACCCTCCATACATGGGGACAGCCAACATGGAGGTTGGCAAAGTCATGGTTCACTTATGGCCCCAGGCTGTCCTTGTGTGCTTAGTCACCTCGGTGTCACCCAGTTGCTTCTGACGCAGAGCACTCCTCTATTTGGAGGCTGCACATGTTTCTGGGGGCAGGCGGCCTCATCTTTTTCCTGTGGAGTGGCTGGTGGGCTTGAACCGCTGACCTTTTGGTCAACAGTCCAACACTGAACCCGCCACATTATCAGGGCTCCTGAGTGAGGCCTGGTAAAATCGTCTCTAAATTTTATTTCTAGTTTAATTCATAAGATGATTTTTTTTAAAAACAAACAAACCTTAGAGCAAGACATGTACTGGAATGTTACTCGTCTTGCTACCCGACGTGTAGTGAGAATCTGCACGCACGACAGCAGGGATGGAAAATACTGAACTTAGAAATGAGCAGCCGTGGGGAAGGTGTCTGCAGTGGAAATCACAAGGGCGGGAACACAGGTTTCAGTCCCGGCGCTGTCACCAACTTGGGTACATAACTTATGCCTCAGGACCCCTCTGAATGCACTGGACCTCTGGTATGCAAACTTAATGATCCCCTGTGACTTTTGCTGATCTCAAAACCCTATGGAATGAAGCAAAGTGTAGTCTCTTTCGCGTCTTTCACAGTGACCCCTTTATACAGTTTCCTTTCATTTTAAAGGAATCGAATATAAGAAACTCAAGCAATATTTTACAGCAAAATCTATTAGCTGGAATAATCATGCCAATGTCTGACCATCATCCCGTTGATATCTCTAAATGCATCTATCCCCACACCCCATATTCACAACCCCCTGTGATCAAGTCTGTTCTGCCTCCGAGGGGCCCTGCTGCGTGGGGTTGCTGAGGCAGAGAGAGAGCCTCGGCTGTCTCCCCTGGCGCATCAGCCAACGCTTACCCAACAAAGCCAGCAGGGCTCTTAAGTGGGCTGTATGTTTTATTAATTCTTCTAACAAATATTAATTCACATGACTTTAAAGAAGAAAAAGTTAATATCCCAACAAACTAATCTCTATGGTGAAATAAACCAACCAGACCTTATTCTAGTGATTTCCTGGAGGGAAAAAAAATTGAAGGAACTAAACAGACAAAGACAAATCATGTCAAGCCTTCAAGATCCTCATTTCTACCTGTGTACTTGTTTTTCTTAAACTGTTTCCTTAAGCAATGCATGCATGGACGTTCTGGTAACTCAGTTCTGTATGAAGCGTATCTTATTTCTGTCTTGTGTTTGAGCTACAATTTCCACCTGTGTTTTTTCCTGTATTTAATTAGGCTCTGACACATACAAATTCTGTAAACAATGATAACATTCAATAAAGTAAATAAACGGAAGCAATTCTATGCTTGTTCTCACAGCAAAGGAGGTGGAGGCAAATAAAGCCGAACCTTCATTATTCATTAAATATGATAGAACATTTGCTTTGGATTAAGGTAAATTTTGAACATTAACACTAGTTATTGTACCATTAAATGCTTTTTCCATCAATCATTCACTAGTTTTTCATGGAGATCCTGAAATTCATTATAAATTTGACACTAGGGGAAAAAAAGAAAAGTTTTTCATGGCCATTATTATATATTCTTCTTCCATGCAGTAATGTCATGTTTCTAAGAATGCAAATCCCAGAACGTACCCGTTATGTTGTGGTTGATGTCATTTCTGTTTTCCTAACAGCTGCCATCCAATCTATCCTCACAAATGAGCTTTGAAGAAAAATGATCTATGTCAGTGAATTCGAGAATAGCAGAAAGAGCAGTGAGACTGGCATCTCTATCTTACGACTCAGGTCCCTTACTTTTGTGGAGCTTTCCACGGGCATTAGAAAGCACACTGGATGAAGGCCGGGGCAGGCAATTGCTAACTATGCGTGCAAACGTGGGCCAGACTCTTCTAGCTGAAATCTCCTCCATCGCTATCCTGCTGCAAGTCTAGGTCACCAGCAGCATGCTCTTCCTCTTGCCACTTCTTTAGGATGGAGTATGCAGAAGAGGAGTCCTGCTGATCTACCAGCATACTGTAAAGAATCAAAGTGTGGTACACACCATTTCCACATTTGTCTTCTGACTGGAAAGTAAGAGGTTTGATTCTACCCAGAGACTCGGGGGGAAAAAAGAAATCTCTGATGCTCCACTTTCCCAATAAAAGCAGCCACTCAAGTCTCCAGCGCACGGATCTACCCCGAAGCACTTGGGATCACCGTGAGTCAGAGTTGCCTTGATGGCACTGCTATTGTTAGCACATCCAACCTTCAAAAGCAGTAGCTCTCATCGTCCTTCTCACTGTCACAGCGTCAGTGCTGACACAGAGTGACAGGATGGACAGAGAGCTGCCCCTGGGAGTTTCTGAGGCTCCACGTCTACACGGGAAGAGCAAGTCTCACCAACACCAAATGACTCTTACCACAGCACATCCGTCTCCTGACTGTTAAACTAGTACTTGTTAGATTGCTCCATTTGGATGTCTCATACAGTTTTCAGACTCAACATAACCACAATGAAATGCTTATGATGTCTTCCCCACACTAGCCCTCTACTTGTGTCTATTTCTATCTCAGTAAATGAGATCGGTTGTTCAAAGTGCAATCATTTGTCACATCTTTGTTACTTTAAAGCCAATCTAAATTTAAATGATTTCCAAGCTTCCTCCTGTCTATGTATACATTTCCCATCCTTTTTAATGCCTGACTGATCAAACTGGTCTTCTCCATTCCAGCCAGGGTCTCTTCAACCAATTCACACTGCAGGTTGAATTCTACCTTTGAAATAGAAAACATCACCCTTTTGCTTAAAAATACCTGTAATTTATTCTCCCTTGCTCTATCAGGTTTAGACTTTGGAAGATATTCTAAAACCTTTTCTATTTGAAAGATGCTCCTGATACCAGCATTGTCAGCAGCACTGCAAATCTCAGGAGCTTGTGAGAAACGCAGATCCACAGATCCCGCCCAAGAACTACTGAACCAGCATCTGCATCTTTCTTCTTCTTTTTTAAAATCATTCTCTCGAGGGCTTGTACAACTCTTATCACAATCCATCCATCCATTGTGTCAAGCACATTTGTACATTTGTTGCCATCATCATTCTCAGAACATTTTCTTTCTACTTGAGCCCTTGGTATCAGCTTCTCACTTCCCCCCTCCCTTCTCTATCCTCCCTCTCTCATGAACCCTTAATAATTCATAAATTGCTATTATTTTTTCATGTCTTACACTGACCAAACTCTCCCTTCACCTACTTTTCTGTTGTCCATCCCCCTGGGAGGGGGTTATATGTAGATCCTTGTGATTGGTCCCCTCTATCTTCCCCCACCTTCCCCTTCCCCTCCTGGTATGGCTACTCTCAATATTGGGCCTGAGGGGGTTATCTCTCCTGGATTCCCTGTGTTTCCAGCTGTGATCTGTACCAGTGTACACCAGCATCTGCATTCTAATAAGATTCCCAGGCAATTCAACAGCACATCCATGTTTAAGAGCTATGATCGGCAAGAACCTACTGATGAGTCCTTCACAAACCCTTCCAATCTAATTAATATACAACTTCCATGCAAAAGTCTCTTCCTACCGTGACATGGTCTGGCCCGGAGAATGTCATGTTTTCTCTTTTTTCTGGGATTTTGATAAAGGGGTTTCCCCCCTCAAACGTCTACCTTGTTAACTCCTACAAGTTCATCATATTTAACATAGATGCCATGTTCTTTGGGAAATATTTCTAGAACCACTAATTCTGGATTAATAACTAATTCTGAATTAACCAATAATTCTGCTTCAGTTGTGTGTTCTCTGCCGTTCTGTGTTTCTATGTAGCATTATAACACATCATCCTGAATTGACAATGGCTCTTTGGTCGTTTGATTACGTATTCTCGTGCAAAGAAGACTCCAGAACAGAAGGGATTCTTTTTGGCTCTCAGTAATAATTTCAACACTCAGCACAGTGCCTGGAACATCGAAACACCCGACATACTTGTATATTTGTTAAAGAAGGATATTAATAAAAGTTTGACATTGTCTTCTCTCATATACATCAACAATTAGCTTCTCAAGCATAAGAAATGAAGGGCAAGCATAAAATCAAAACCACAAGTGTGTGAGGTGGAATACTCATGCACGTGTGAGAAACATGGACACGTATTTGGAAGTAAAACAAGAGTAACTGTGCTACCCTTGAGTACTGCTCACAAATACCACCCAAGTCTCAACCCAAAGTTTATCTTCAAGCCCTGGGAAAAATTAACTCTTTCAAAATTATTTGACTCTACAATACATAATCATTCAGAAAACACCATTCAAAAAGAAGACTCAACACGACACCATTTGTTAAAACCCCAAACCAAACCCACTGCTGTCCGGTCGACGATCTTTAAAATGTAACGTCTACGCAGGTTTCACCCTGGAAAGATCACTGGTTGCTTTACTTGCCCTACTGACTGAGCCCAGAGGCGCGTGCACACGCGGATGAAAGAAGCGAGTCCGCAGCCATCCGGCCTCCTTTCCAGTCGGTTTCTGTTTGTTTCTAGATAAACAGGCTCTCGGGGCAAAAAGAATGATCCCGGGATTCTAGTGTTTAAATAAACAGTTTAGTAGATTCACTCCAGGCTCCTGGTGTTTAAATAAAACCGTTTAGAAGATTCTGCTTAGATTACACTTTCTTAGCTCTTAGAAGGGTTGAGACTTACTCCTGATACACTTTCCCCGATCTGAGGGCGTCAAGAAAATTCTCTGGCTTGTGTATTTCTTTCTCTGTGAGGCTCATTTTGTCCGCTCCCCTTTACTCCTTTCTGGATGATTACTTATTCCTCCCTTCATCCCTCTTAAACTCCCCTTCCTAAAAGTTCTACATAGTGGTTTCGTTATGGCCCTCAACATTTCAAAACAAAACACACACACACACACACACACACACACACACACATTATATTACATTATATTTGCAATGCACCAGGTCAAAATTATTGCAATCAATTAGAAAAATAAGGCTGAATTTAGAGGACAGTGAAGTGTGTTATCCTTAGAAAGATAATTTATACTTTATGTTCATCTTCCATTAAAATTTTACACTACAGAGTAGTCTTTCAAACAAGCATTAAAAAAATAAAACATTAATGTATATTCTTTCAAACAAGCATTAAATCAAGAGAGATCGTTTTAACTAAAAAACAATTAACTACACCTTCAGTCTTACCTCTTCATCACGGACCCCTAGTGATGTCGTGTTTAAACTCCTCATTGCTAATCAAGAAAGATCTGGCAATCTGCTTCTCATAAAGACAAAAAAGACCCCTCTTGAGACCAAAGTCACTGCCATCGGTCAATGCTGACTCCTAGGGCCCTGGATGACAGGGTAGAACTGCTCTTGGGGGTTTCCCAGACGGTAACTCTATGGGAGTAGAAAACGTCATCTTTTTCCTTTGGAAAAAGTGGTCTCGATCAGCTGACCTCATGGTGAGCAGTCCATCGCAGAGCCACTCTATCACCAGGGCTCCTTTCTTAAAGATTACAGCCTAGGAAACCTTACGTGGCAGTTCTACTCGGTCACAGGATTGCTCGGAATTTGAACTCAACTTAGCAACACACAAGAGCAATCTCTCTATTAGATTTTGGCCTTGCATTGGTGAAGCAAAAATTAACTTTAAAGTGAGCAATTTAAAACACTGTCCATTACCTGATCCACCCAATTGTAAGCTGGTCACCTCAAACCTTGGAGCTGGTGTTTTGGGTGCTTATAGTAAATGCGACAAGACTAGAAGTAGGATGTTCTGATATGCACTCAGGCCAAGGAATCATTTGAGCCTTATTCCCTCATAAAGTTAAAATAAATATTTTTAGAAGATAATTCTTCCTCAAGACATATTTGGCTTTGCACACATATTCTTAAGAAATGTATGTGGCCCTAATGAGTATACTTATCATCATTTAAATAAGCAACCTACTTTTAAATGCTCTGCTCCTCTCATTAAATACACATGGGCATTTTTCATTGAAAAGGACGACCCTAAGCTTTCAGTGGAGTTTCTACCAACTAATCAGAGGGAAGCAAGAGCAAGATTTCTCTCCCGTGATTTATATTTAAATGTGCATGTTATTGACCCTGCTGTGGTTGACCCAGCAACGTTCCACAGAAGAACATTGCTGTTCTGGGGAGATCACCCGAGGTTACCAGCAATCACAAATGACGCAGTGAAAAGCAGTGGGCTTGGTGTTAGAAGACTTGGATTAGAGTCTTATTTCTAGCACTTTCTGTTTCTAGTTTTCTCATACATAATAATTAGGAATAATAAAAATCATGAACCCCACCTGTTGCTAGCCAATCGATTCTGACTTATGACAACTGCATGTGTTACAGAATAGAACTGCTTCATAGGATTTCCTTGGCTGTAATTTCACAGGAGCCAATTGTCAGGCCTTGCTTCTAAGGTGTCCCTGGGAGAGTTCAAACCATCAACTTTTGGATCAGCAGCCAAGTATAAATTACTTGTGCCATTCAGGGCCCATCCCATCCTCCAAACACACACACACACACACACACACACTCATTCCAAAAAAAGGCTGTCAAGTGGATTCTGACTTATGGTGACCCAATAGGACAAAAAAAAGGACTGCCCCTGTGGATTTCAGAGACTATAACTCTTTATGGGAGTAGAAAGTCTCATTTTTTGACTGTGGAGTAGTTGATGGTTTGAACTACTGACCTGGTGGTTAGCAGCCCTTTGAGTAACTACAATGCCACCAGGGCTCCCATTCAGGGTCGTAGTGATAATAAAAATGGTCATTAAACTTGTCTGGTCCAACTCCTGTGTTTGTTAAAAACAGTAAAAGAGGAAATGTATATGTCATTGGAAAAACTGCAAAGTCTAATGTAAATCCACAAGCACAAGCAAAACCACACTCTCAACAGAAGCTTCTTGAGCAAAGAAAAGTATGAGCTTTTGATGGGTCAGAGTAAGAGGTGAGGTGAAATGTCAACCTTCTATAATCCTCAAGGAGGGTGAGCTGTGATAGAAATTCAGGGTCTTCAAACACTAAAGGCGTCTTCTTATAAAAGGGTTAGCATTAAGGGCACTTAATGTGACTCTACTGAGGAAGGGAGGGAAATGAGGGAAATGAGGATGGGGGTTGGTTCTTGACCCGGTGAGTTAGTACCTCCCATGGCTGAAAGGCGTTGGGGTTGTGACAGTCTCGAGCTTGGCACAGATCCCGAATGGCATAACCAAGAGCAAGCGCTGCAAGCTGAATACTGTGAACCAGTCCTGGCTCAGAATAATCCCACAGGAAGTCATTCCTCAGGGAGAAGTTACTTGCTATCGCCAGCTTGGCCAGGGACCCCAATCCCAGAGATTGATTGGAAATGCATTCACTCAACTCACTGTCTTTGACATATGCACAGGCAGACAAGAGCATGATATATTCATTTAAGGGTTTGTTATTGTCCTTGCGATGCATATGCAGATTTTGAAGAAAGGAATGGAAAGAAGACATATTCCCTCTTCTAAAGGCAAACCCCACAATTTTGCCAATCCTTCTCACATTAGGGATGGTGGCAATCTTAGTGGCAGTTGACCAATTATCGCTAGCAATCCAGATCTTATTTATATTCTTCTCAATGGCTTTATTGAAGAGACTGAAAACATGAAATTGCCTTAGAAATACCACGATGACATTGACTTGGGCTTCTGCAATGATCTTCTCAAGTGTCTGATTGATCCTGCCTTCGATGGTGTTATCTGACAGGAAGGCTGGGAAAACCTCTTTGAAGGCTATGCAGACATTATTTGCAGCCGCCTGAATCGCGAACGTGCTGAGAGCGAGACGTCCATAGTCGTCATCTGTGGTGATCATGCCGATCCAGTTCCATCCAGATTTCTGAATCAGGTGGGCTATCGCTTTTGTTTGATAGTAGTCACTGGGCACCGTCCGTAAAAATGAAGGAAAACGAACTTTGTCACTTAGGATTTCAGCAGTTGATTCATAACTGACCTGGAAATCGACAGAATCTATCAGTTATGAGTTCCACGTGACTGCGCGTGTTACGTGCTCCTCTACTTGATTTCTCTACACATCTCTAACCTTTCCCTCAATTCCCTGGTCCTTTTCATCCCTTTCTTTCAATGAACTTCAATTTTACCGATAGCTCATGTCGTGGGACTTACCACCTTGCCATGGCTTTAGATGCCTTGGTCTTTAAAAATTCCATTTGGTGTTTAGCCCTTTAATAGTTTAGACCATCTTTTATATCTCTATCTGTATCTTTAACTCCATCTGTATCTACCGTGTATCTCAGGTCAGGGTTAACAGCAGTTATTATCTAAATATCAAGAGGTTGTTAGAGGAAAAACTGGAGCCAGACTGAGAAGCAAAGTGCATCTGTGAACATCTAATCCATCAGAATCAGAATCAACTCCGTGGCCGTGGCCTAATGTGTGCAAAGTTTTGCCTGATTTACAGACCGGGTGGCCCTACTGGGTAAGTGTCAGACAGCTAACCTCAAGGTCAGCGATTCAAACTCACCAGCCACTCTGGAGGAGAGAGATGAGGCTTTCTGCTCTCAGAAAGCAAGCTACACTCTATAGGGTTGCTATGGCAGGAGGTTTATTTTGGGTGAATATATTTAAAATTTGTTGAATTTAGAACTTTTGTTATTTTATTCTAGGCAGAATAAATCATCCAGTCAAATAAGCATTTCCTCCAAGGTCCAGAAAACTTTTTCTTTAGAGCCAGTTAGAAAATATTGATGCTGGGAGGGGGTTCACACGTGATCTCAGTTGCATATTATTTGTATTTGTTGTTTTGTTTTACTTTTATAACCCTTTAAAAATGTTAGCAAACAAGCAAGCAAAAACACTCCTTGTAGCTTGGGAACAAAAGCCTCTGGGGGCCACATTTAGCCTTCACACTGCTGTTTGCTGAACCTGCTGCAGTCAAGAAAGCACCAAGGTTTTGGGAAAAGATCCCTGGCAGCAACCCTGGTGGTGCAGTGCTTAAGCATTGGGCTAACTGCAAGGTCAGTAGTTGGAAGTCACCAGCAGCTCCAGGGCTTTCTACTCATTCACAATTTCAGAAGCTCTGGGAGCAGCATTATACCCTGCCTTGTAGGGTCACTATGAGTTGCCATCAGTTCCATGGCAGTGAGTTTGGTTTAGTTTGCTTTTTAGAAGGAGCCCTGGTGGTGGTGTGGGCTAGGCTTTGGGCTGTTAATCTCAAGGTCAGCAGTTCAAACCTCCAAACTGCTCCATGGAAGCTGAAAGATGCGACTGTCTTCTCTCATAAAGATTTATAGTCTTGAAAACCCCATAGAAGGTCGCTATGAGAATCAATTTGATGACAGCGGATTAGTGTGTGCTCAATTTGGCCTGATTTACAGCTTTGGTGAATATTTTATGCTTAGCTCTGTAGAAAAATATTTCTGACCCCTGGACTAGAAGATTATTTGAGTAGATGATTTATTTAACTACTCACAGCAGTCACAAAGAATGAGAGGAACACAAACACTTTGGACTCAAGGTAGTAGCATTCTGATGCCACTACATTTTTTTAAAACTTACCATCGATTTACTGGTAAATTCCTAGGCCTCTTTTGACTAATAAAGGAAAAAATGTAAATGGATCCTAGAGCACAGCAGACATTCACGGAGCACTAGTGATCTACTTAGGGTGGACCCTGCCAGTGCAGCTGCACTGTAGGACCTGACCCTGTGTCAAATCACTGCTATGTCTGTTAAGTATCCCCTTCCTTTCCGTGTTCCCGATCACAGAGAGTACATTTTGGCATCTGTCAGCCATTGCTAAATCCATTTGTTTTTCCTACTTGACACTTCACTAGGATTGTGCGTACTCTAGAGTCTAGATCATGGGTCGGCAATCTTGTGAGATGGGAAAGCCAATCCTGTCTGTCACAACAGTTTAAAAATTATTCAAGACCCAGAAATATATTTTCACAAACGAATGAAATCGCCATTATCTAAATAACACCCTGAGATTTTTTTCAATTTTACTTCAAAACCACATGCATGTACTGAAAGATCTGCATATAGCCTGTGAGCCAGTTTGCCAACGCCTAGTCTATATTATCTGAGGCAAAGCCTTATCTCTGATATCACTGGGGAATTATTATTATCATTAATCTTGTCATTGAAGACTTAGACTTTCTCTTGTTTCTGATGCAATCTTACTTAAGTCTCATATTGTTGCCTATCTACAGTTTACATGTTTAAATTGTTAGCGCATAATAAAACAGTAAAAGAAATCATCCAGTCACCAATAATCATATATCAGCTAGTACCTTTACCTCCTATTTTCTTCCATTTTTTGACCTGTATACTCATTATAATTAATTATATTTAATTTTAAAATAAAATTAACTTGAATTATGTCCTAAGTACTTTTTTGGAACACATTGTAATTATCACAATTGCTTCTATAAATGATCATTTCTGGTGGTTTATATCTTATTGGATTCCTAGTTATTTTGTAATTAAAAATAACTACTGTTATTTTTAATTACAAATGAGTATTATTTTTGCTTATAGTTAGCTTTCATTCTTTAAAAATACTGCTTATTTTATTTGATTGCTTTTTAAATGTAGATCATTAAATACAATTTCACATTTCCTTGATAATTCAGGATTTTCATAAGAAAGGATCACTAATCTATAATATAATCTATCGAGATTGTTTAAGGTTATATGATCTATTTACTTATGTTCCAGCAAGTTAGATGTTTTAAGTTCTTATGCATGTTATAATATATGTACTTTTCCTATCTGTTCACTTCTATAAGATGACTATTTCCTGGTAGTAGGACAACTAACTTTTGCCTTCTTATTTCCTTTAGGCTTAGAAAGCAAGGAACGGGGCAAGTTCTAGACTGGTGTACTGTGAACATAAATAGATTCAAAGTGAAAGTCAAGGGAGCTTGTTTGGCACTGGGTAATGTACAAGAACTGGCACATGGGATCTCTACTGCCGGTTTTAGATTTTCACAGATATTTTGACTAAGATTGTGGTTAGAAGCTTAGACTGCCCCATTGACATCCTTCCCTTCACCCTCAGAAGAAATGAGACCTACCAGGGCTTTCATCGTGCTCTCTGACCCTGTCTCCACAAATGCATCTCTCATCCTCCTCCTTTCTGCTCAAACTTAGTCAAAATAACCTTGAAACATATTGATGGCATATTCCAAACTTTTCCTTGTTGCTTCCTCTGCTTAAATACTCCCACTCTGCTCCGTGTTCCCTGTGTGACTCTCCCAGTGAAGCTTCAGGCTCGATGTTCTTCCCTCAAGAGATCTTCCTTTCTTGACCATCAGACCCCTTTGACTCCTACTCTCTTCCCTTTTCTTAATATCAACATGTTTTGGAATAGTGTATTGACATTTTCAGATGTTTGCTTTTTATCCAAACCCTACTGTACACGGTCAGTAATTAGACATGATAGATTGAGGCAAAAAATACCCATCAAATACTTTTCAACTATACTGTCAAGAATTGGGAACAACTTTGTATTGACTGGTGAGAAAGAACAATGGGAGTAAAACCAACATCCTAAATAATTCTCCAAATTTACTCAGAGGCTTTCATAATAATGAATATGATCAAGAGACATATATGGAAATATAGCAAACCTACTTGTGGTATGAGCTGTAAATTCAACATCCTGGAAACGGCCATGGTTATTTCTGAGTAGCCAGCACCTATGACCGCCTTTACCCTGGGCATGTAGCTGGAATAGTCACACTTCAACTCCACAACTTCTCTGGAGCAGTTGAGTTTAGAAAGAAATCTGAGAGCGGCTGCCATTGCCACCGTGACTTCTGTACACGTGTCATAGATTTCATACCCAAGTTTGACACCAGATAATAATGTTGAATTATTGATCATCTCAATGCTGTGTATCATAGCAAGAGTTTGAAGAAAGATCGATATCTCAAAACTGTTGGGAAAAAAATATTGGGGGAATCAATACATTTTTTGCAATCAGAACTCTTCTATATAATCCTGCTATCTCACTTTATTTGTATTTCTGCATATAATTAGAAAAGCCTGGTCAGTGAAGCCCATCTGTTAAAGACTAAATTTATTTATTTAAAAATCATTTTTGAGAGAAATCTTTGTAAAAGATATCTAGAAATCACTCAGCTTACTAAACATACAATAAGATATATGTCAAATGATTTTTGTGGTGAATTTTGGGATCATTTTGAGCAATAGGGTCATATTTTTAAAAATTATTTTTATAATTAGATCTCATCATTTTATTATTGTCAAAATACTTGCATTTTAGACTGATCAGGTGCTATTTTGATTTTTTGATTCTAATCTGCTTGTAGTTGAAAACTAGATAAATACAGCCCTCAAGGATTGAATGTTAAACCAGTTCTGGGTAAAAGCTCAACAACCTTCCCCTAAATGAAGTGCATTAATCTAATTTTAAAGCACAGCTTTTTCCAAATTCAGAGCACTTTTTCAATTTACTTCTTGATTTGTGAATTTCTCAAAGCATTTGGTTACATGATTACTGCTTTACTGTTATGTTTACCTTATCCCCCCACTGTACAAGAAGGGTTATAGACATTTCCTAGTACGCAATAGTAATTTGCTAATTTTTTTTGAATTTAGAAAGTGGGATATTATTGATCAAGCTTTGATAGTATAAAGTCTCATTTTAATTCATTAATAGAAATGAGATATTAAAACAATTTGAATAAAACTAACAACATGGACCTTATAAATAGGAAATTTGGAGAACAAACATTAAGATCTTAGTTTTCAGGAAAAAGAGAGAAGAGGGAAAAGTTAAGGATCTCGGTTAGCTGACAATTAAATCTTATAATATTTTCAAAGCCTTCCACATTTAAGCTACATTAATCAGGATCTGTCTAAACGGGTCACCCCTGTATCTTCAGTGCCAGGATAGGGCCTAGGCCATGTAGGTATTGAATAAATACTTGGTCAGTTTAAAATGAGTATCATTTATCTTGAGGAGCTAAGTTTTATTAAGATATCTTTTTGATACCATACCTACACATTACATCTATGCTAATCTTCTGACATGGCCTTGAAGTCAATGTGTATTCTCTGAGGCTTTACTCACCCAACACACTTCTGGATCTGTGGTCGTCTGGGATAGTCTTCTGAGGACATCATTTTTTCATGAATGGCAAACAAACCTCCGATCATGATGTGTCCTGGAGAAGTGGCAGCCACAAGGTCATCCGGGGTCTGGCAAGGTTGGGAAGTAGCAAGAATAATCACCAGACAGGTAATCTGTATAATCAATAATGCCATATTGCTTTCTGATTTGCTCACTTCGTGAGAGTTCTTAGGTATCACTAAGCTCAGAGCATGTGCACACCGTTCCTGTTTCACCTGTAAACATCAAGTAAAGCAGGGGCCAGTGCCAGGACACTAAACATTCAGGTACTCGTGATCGTCACAACAGCTCTTTCACCTTTGAGAACATGCCACACTATGTCTGGACAGAGTGGATGTGTGTGATCACAGTAACTTTAGGTTAATGCTGCGAAACAAAACAAAACAATCCAGACATCACTATGTGATGACACCCTGCACTGATCTATTGAAGGCATGGAGTCAGGCTGGATTGCTTTTAAGATGAAGGTAGACGCTTCAGAAGGGAAGCGTTTGAGGAACTTTTCCCACTTCAGAAACAGTTCTGTATTTCCAAAATTATCACATTCACGATCCTAACCATTTTACAAAACATATCGTCATGATTTTATTTTTCTTAAAAAGTTCCAATTAAGAAACAAAATATAATAAATTGAGGTATTTCAAGCTACCAATTTACATATGATATAAATAAATAGGATTTTGTGGTGCTAGCCAAAACTAAAAATGAGATGACACTTAACTTTGGACCCAAAGGGACTGTCCAGAGTGTCATAAATCATTTCCATAGTTGCATAATTTTTATCTGATGAACTCAGGACTAATTTCAGGCTGTGTTCTTGTTGTTTTTAGGTGTGGGCAAGTAGGTCCCACCTCATAGTGACCATATGCACAAGAAACCGATATACTGCTGGGACCAGAGCAATTGTTATGTTTGAGTCCAACAACTTGCTTGTCAACTGGTTGTACTGTAGTGGTTTGTGTGTTGCTGAAACCTATTAGACTGGTATATTAACATGCCAGCAGGGTTATCCACGGTGAACAGGTTTAAACAGAGCTTCCAACAAACAACAGACAAAGAAGAAGGAATAAACTGTCCATGTTTGAGGAATTAGCCACCCAGAAAGCTTATGAATAGCAGGAGAACATGTTCTTAAATACTTATAAATCTGAACTAACAAGGGTATCTCTTGGAATTTAATAATAGATAGATCTGTGGCTTTGGCACTACAGAGAAAAAGTTCAATTTTAAAATTTATCCCCCAAACTCCATTTTCAAACATTGGATTAAGAAGGAATATCTTAATTACAAGCAGTTCAAGGTTCAATAAAGCCAAGTCCAATTTGTCTGATGAGTAGCAGATAAATAAAGGAATTTCAGAAAATAAAAGGAAGTGGTGGTCAATATGGCATTTTTTATTTCTCAGTTGTAGTGGAGTGAAATTTCTTAATATGGCTCTTCTAATCAAGCCTCTGCAACTCCCACCCAATGACTGGGTGGAACTATGCAAATAAGGTGTGTGAAACAGTGAAGGAGGGGATTGGTGGGGTTTTGTTACTACCAGCCCTGGCTAGAAGGAGGTGGGCTATCTTGGATGAGCCATCTTTGGACCAGCAGGAGAGAGGAGAGACCTGGAATAAGAGCGTGTCCAAGATCTCTGTCTGAGGCGGCAGAGGATGCTGAGAGCAGATGCCTCACAGACGGTGGCACAGAGACTCAGAGGACCAGTGCCAAGGCTATGAGGTAACTTCTTACCTGACCTAAGATCATGGAACTTTGGGCCTGAGTGACAAGGTAGGCCAGTTTCCTGGCCTGTGGAGACAAAGACCAAGGGACCACATCACTGAGGGACGAAGGACCCGGGAGAGCCTTGGCTACCAATTGGTCGAAAGGCTGAGAACTGGATCAAAATGCGGCTACAAAAAAAAAAAAAGAAAGAAAGAAATGTGGCTACTATGGGGCTGAGAGGTTGAGCCCTGGGCAGAGAATTGGCTACTGGCTGAGGAAACCAATGACTGCCTCCTTACTGATTGCTGATCCTGACTGGTGGTAGCCTATTATTAATTTCCCTAATAAACCTCCTTAATTGTGAGTATTGTCTGTGCATTCCGCCTGGCTATTGCAATGAATTATTGAAACCAAAATAGATCTAGAGTGGCAGAGTAGGACTGGCTGGTATCAGAATAGGTAAAGAAGAATGGATCATGGAGACATCTCTGAACTCTGCCTCTTGGCAACGGGGCAGTCATCTATGTCCGCCTCTACAATTAACATTAGCATTGATTTCATGGACTATGGGACTGCGTGAAGCGAAGAGTAGAAAATGTACAACACAGTGTCAATTATCTCCTTAGATTCATCATCATCTGGATTTTCTGTTAGTAGTAAAACCAGTTAACTTCAGGTGCCTAGAAGACTCTGTAAATAAACATGAGTCTGGAATCTACAAAGCATTATTACTGTTTTGTTAGGAACTGCCAGGTCAGTTCTCACTCAAAGCAATCCTCATAGCGACTGGATGAAACACTGCCTGGTCCTATGCCAGCCTCACACGTTTCTGATGTTTGGGCCCATTGTTGCAGCCACTGTGTCAATCCATCTTGTTGACAGCCTTCTCTTTGTTGATGCCCCACTGTTTGAACCAGCATGATATCCTTTGCCAGGTACTGGTCTCTTCTGGCAACATGTCCAAAGTATGTAAGAGAAGTCTTGCCATCCTTGCCTCAAGGAGCATGCTGGCTTTTCCCCAGAACAGATTTATTTGTTCTTTGAGCAGTCTTTGGTACTCTCAATATTCTTTGTCAGAACTACAATTCCAATGCTTTGATGCCAAACATTAGTGATTTCCTTTTACCCATGTCTAAGGACCCTTGGTGGCTGCGTAGTTTACACCTTGGGTTTGAAACCACCAACCAATCCACAGGAGATAAAGAGGAGGCTTTATGACCCTGTAGAAATTTACAACCTTGAAACCCAAAGGAGCAGCTTACCCTGTCTTACAGGGTCTCTATGAATATGAATTGACTTGCCAACAGTGAGCTTCATTTCAAATCATTTGTGTGTGTGTATTTTATGCTGAGTTGTCTAAAGAAACAAATTCAGTGACACACATATATGCATAAGAAAGAGCTTTATATCAAGAAATAAGAAGGCATCCCAGCCCAGTCCACCTCAACTTTGTAAGTCCAATGCTGGTCCGTAAGTCCCCCTTCAGAATCATGCAGCTGCAGGCCAGTAAGGCAGAACAGTGAAGCGGGATGGAGGAAGCTCACAGGACAGTGGGTGCAGTCACATGGATCGATGGTAGGTGGGAACATGGCAAGGTGCCGGCAGATGTCAGGGTTAAGGTCGAGCAGTCCATATCAGGCCACCCGTGAGGCAGAGTCCCAGCATGCAGGAAGGCCAAGGGGCAGAGAGAGGTCTTCTCTGTTCATCTGGTTCTGATACAAAAGGCTTATAGCAGTGGTTTTCAAACTTCCTGATGCTGCGACCCTTTAATACAGTTCCTCATGTTGTGGTGACACTCCCCAACCATAAAATTATTTTTTTGTTACTTCATAACTGTAATTTGCTACTGTTATGAATCGGATGACCCCGGTGAAAGGGTCGATCTACTCCCAAAGAGGTCACGACCCACAGGTTGAGAACTGCTGGCTTACGGTATCAAGGAGGGGGTTATGGCGCTGTGACTTGATTGACAGGTTTGACTCCACCCCTAGCCAGGAGTGTCTAGTTGACATGGTGCCTAACCATCACAAGACGTATATGCATATAATTGGATATATGTTCCTGTATTTAGTTATTTTCTTCAAACAATCTCAAAGTTCTCAAAGATTCAAAGATTATTTGGGGATAAAAGTATACTAAAAGATTAAAAAAAAATCCAGGCAATTGCACAGCAAATGCATAGAACAACTTGTGGAGTCAATTCTGACACACAGAGGCCCTATATAGCATTTTCAAAGTTATGGGTTTGAACCATTGATCTTGAGGTTAGCATTCCCATGTTTACCAGACAATGCCAACAGGACTACAGGTGTTAAGCAATTCGGAATGATTCTGAAAATGTCTCTCATGTGACCATACTCCTTAGATCTGACATTTATCTGAAAAGAAGCAGCTCATTTAGGAGCCATCATAGAGCTTAGATAAAATTTCTTAAAAATCGCAAACAATTACAGTACACTGTACAAAAGCAAAAATGCATCTGATACGTAGCTCCGATAAGTAGCGATGCAGACAGAAGCGTGTACAGTATGAGCCAATCAGTGGCAGTAATGACAGAGCATGCGCTGTTACGCAAAAACCGCGATAGAGTGAAGCTGCAGAAGTCGAAGTGCGAAGTGGCGAGGGTTCACTGTAATCTTTTCCTGAAAAATTCTACTTGCATTGAGCTGCTTACTACAACGTTGGCAGTTTAAACCCACCAAGTGCTCTGAGGGAGAAAGGAAGTTGTCTGCCCCTCTCTAAAGGTTTAAAGTAGACTGATGCTGGTTAGGTTTTATGGAAACCTGGTAGTGTAGTGTAACATTGCTAACTGCAGTGTTGACAGTTCGCAACAGCCAGTCACTCCTCCAGAGAAAGATGAAGCATTGTATTCCTGTGAGGAGTTCGTCTTGGGAACCCACTGAGGCATTTTTCATGTCCTACAGAGTCATCCGAGTCAGAAGTGACTTGGCGGCAGTGGTTTTTGTTTTCATTTATGCTACTTCAAAATGACTGTTGTGATATCATTGGGGGGCTCAAATTATGTTCCTTTGCAACGTTCGCTTTGATGAACAAAGTGTAAAATGGCAAGATGAGGACGATCGAGTGCAGGAGGACTCCTGTGTGTCTGCATCCACCAGCTATGATCTTCCTGCAGCTGTGACTCAGGCAAAGCTTTCTAGCTCAGCATTGAACCCAGGGAGTTGAGTTGGAATGAAATGAGCTGTTTCTACAACTACGTGAGCCCCTCCCTTGATATAAATCCCTTCCTTCATTCCTTCCTGCCTGCCTTTATATCTTACGTGTTTTGCTTCTCCAGGGACTCCAGCCTAAAGCAAGTATTGAAAAGTCATAGCGCAGTATCACTGTGCAAGATATTCTTATAAAGTTACCACTGCCCTACTTGGATACATATAAGAGAGACGGAGAGTCAACGATCAGAGGTGTT